CGAGATTGTTCAGAATCTGGAGTAACAGTTTAATGATCTGGGGGCAGGCCATCTAGAACTGAGCAGGTTCAGTTGGCAGTTAGGAAAGCAAATGTAATGTAAGCATTTGTTTCAAGTAGATAGAATACAAGGGCAGGGATGTACTGCTGAGGCTGTGTCAGGCTCTGGTCAGACTGGGAGCAGTTTTGGGCCCCATATCCAAGGAAGGATGCGCTGGCATTGGAAGATGTCCAGACGAGGTTTACAAGAATGATCCTGGGGATGAAGGGCTTGTCATATGAGGAGCGATGGAGGACTCTGGGTCTGTATTTGATGGAGTTTCGAAAGATGAGGGGGTGGATCTGATTGAAACTTACAGAATACTGAGAGACCTGGATAGAGTGGACATGGAGAAGATGTTTCCACTAGTAGGAGAGACTGGGACCTGAGGGCGTAGCTTCAGAGCGAAGGGACTACCCTTTAGAACTGAGATGAGGAGGAATTTTTTTTAGCTAGAGGGTGGTGACTGTGTGGAACTCAATGCTGCAGAGGGCTATGGGCCAGGTCATTGGTTATATTTAAGACAGAGGTAGCTAGGTTTCTCAACACCATTCTCCTGCCTTCTCCCCATAACACCTTGAACCCCTTAGCCATCAAGAACCTACCAGCCAAGATCAAACAGTGGAACAGACTCGATGGGCCAATCAACCCAATTCTGGTCCTATATTGTATGGTCTTATGGAGTTAAGGAGAAATCTTTACTCACAGAATGGTGAGCCTGTGGAATTTTCTGCCACAGAAAGTAGCTGGAGTCAAAACATTATGTTTTCAGGAAGGACGTGGATATAGTCCTTTGCGATGGCCTACACTTGTTCTTATTTCCTATGTTTGTAGGAGATTGTGGGTCTACCTACAGCACATGGGCTGCAGCGGTTCAAGAAGGCAGCTCACTCTCACCTTCTAAAGGGGGGCAATCAGGGACGGGGCAAGAACTGCTGGATCAGCCAGTGATGTCCACATTCTAGTAACATATTTTTAAAAAGTAATATTCATAGAATGGAAGCAGGCCATTCAGCCCATTGAGTCCACACTGATCCTCCAAACAGTATCCCACCTAAACCCATCCTCTACTGTATCCCTGCATTTCCCATGGCTAACCCACCTAACCAGCACATCCCTGAACACTACGGGCAATATGGCATGGCCAATCCACCCTAACCTGCACATCTTTGGACTGTGGGAGGAAACGGGAGCACCCAGAGGAAACCCACGCAGACACAGGGAGAATGTGCAAACTCCACACAGGCAGTTGTCTGAGATTGGAACTGAACCTGGATTCTTGGCGTTGTGAGGCAGCAATGCTAACACTGACCCGCCATGCGGCCCCATTATATGATTAAATCCCAGGGATAATAACTGCCTCAGGTGTGGCCCGAAGCATCATTGAGCAGTGAACCGTCCAAAACAGAGAAGCACGGTCCTCGAGGAAGAGAAATCTGAAGATCAAGCTGATGATAATGATGAAATATTGATGTTTCAGACTGATGATGAATATGTTAGTTATAAACCCCTCTGATTGTGCAGTATTCAATAGTACTTGTAATTCACAGGATTATGGGACAGTTTGGTTAGAATGTTACCTTCCTTCAGTAGCTGGTGAGGTTTGATGCTAATGAAATGAATATAAAATGATGACTTGCTTTAGGTTTGGAGATGATAACATTAAAGGTGGATAAAGAGAGTTAGAATTCCATGTAAAATAGCTGGAGTTAGCTACTGCCTTCAAAGTGCCTGGTCAGAGCAGAGCGGGGACGGTCAGTGGGATGGGGGCTCGGAGCGGGGACGGTCAGTGAGCTGGGGGCTCGGAGCGGAGTGGGGATGGTCAGTGAGCTGGAGGCTCGGAGCGAAGCGGGGATGGTCAGTGAGCTGGAGGCTCGGAGCGGGGACAGTCAGTGGGCTGGAGGCTCAGAGTGGGGACGGTCAGTGGGACTGGAGGCTCGGGACGGGTATGGTCAGTGGGACCGGAGGCTCGGGACGGGGACAGTCAGTGGGACTGGAGGCTCGGGACGGGGACAGTCAGTGGGACTGGAGGCTCAGAGCGGGGACGGTCAGTGGGCTGGAGGCTCGGAGCGGGGATGGTCAGTGGGCTGGGGGCTCGGAGTGGAGCGGGGACGGTCAGTGAGCTGGAGGCTCGGGACGGGGATGGTCAGTGGGCTGGAGGCTCAGAGCGGGGACGGTCAGTGGGACTGGAGGCTCGGGACGGGTATGGTCTGTGGGACTGGAGGCTCGGGACGGCCTCGGTCAGTGGGACTGGAGGCTCGGAGCGGGGACGGTCAGTGGCCCTGGAGGCTCGGGGCGGGGACGGTGAGTGAGATGGGGGATCAGGGCGGGGACGGTCAGTGGGCTGGGGGCTTGGAGCGGAGCAGGGATGGTCAGTGAGATGGGGGCTCGGAGTGGAGCGGGGATGGTCAGTGAGATGGGGGCTCATCTAAACTCCAGTAAACACAGTCCTAACCGACTGAGTCTCCCCTGTACATCAATACTGCTGCACCTGAATCATTCTGCTGTCAACACATTATCCCCTAATCCTGAGCACTTTAACCTTACACACTAACCCCTTCAAGTGACCTTATCGAAAAATTTTTCAAAATCCAAGAAAACCACATCCACAGGCTTCCCCTTGTCCATTTTAAAAGTTACATCTCAAAAATATTCCAGTAGATTGTCAGCCACAATTTCCCTTTCAAGATTCCCACTTCCATGGAAAGGCAGCCAACATCATCAAAGACCCCTCCCACCCCAGTAATGCTCTCCTACAACCTCTTCCATCAGGCAGAAGATACAGAAACCTGAACCCACGCACCAGCAGGTTCAGGAATAGCTTCTTCCCAGCCGTTATGAGACTGATGAAAGGATGTCTCTAACTTCAAATAATATTGACCTTGCTTCGTGCATTTCCTGTATACCTCGCACCCTCTGATCTGTACGGTCTTGTTCGCTATTATCTGCTTGTACTGCTCACAAAACAAAACTTTTCACTGTATTTAGGTACAGGTGACCACAACAAATCAAATCAAATCAAAATACTTCCATAAATACTGTCATAGAAACAGGAGTAGGCCATTCAGCCCCTTGAGACTGTTCCATCATTCAACGAGATCACGGCTGATCTGTGGCCTACCTCCATAAACCTGCCTTTGGCCTATATCCCTTCGTACCTTTGTTTAACAGAATTATATTTACTTCAGATTTAAAACTAACAACTGATCCAGCATCTAATGCCGTGTGTGAGCAAGGATAAGGAATGTCCTGCCCACTGAGAGACAGCACTGCCTGCCCCTCGAACCCCATCTCCTCGATTCCCCTGTGATCGCACAATCTCTCCCAGACACAGCTTCTCACTCAATCACCAAGAAACTGCTCTGCAAAGATGAAGATGATCACTTGATCCCGGCTCAATCCAAACTGATCTACTTCAGCTTCCACTTGATCCAAGATTGATGTCCTGAAGCTTTCACTTGATTCCTGCGCAATCTCTCAGTCCAACACAATCTCTCAAAGCAGCCAGTCTCTCCTTACTGAAGGTCCTGGACCTGCCACTGGATCCATGGTTGAACTCCCATTTGATCCAGCCTGATCACACAGTCTCGTGGATCTCCTGGTCCTCTCCGAGATGCAAAGTTGAACAAAGCTGTTAGTGCAGCTGGTTTGGGCTCAGATCAGAGGGATCCTGGGTCTGGCTGATCTCCTGAGAGAGGTCCCAGGCAGCTGACAGTGCGCCCTCAAGGACAGGACTGTCGGACAGGAGGCATACTGCCCAGGCACCGGTGAGAAACACACACGCTTCCTGTACAAGCGTAAATCCAGGCACATCACGCACAACACAAACAGTTGCTGACAGACTGAGAGCTGGTGGGGGAAGATCAGGACCAGATCCTATTAACCCTCTGAGTGCTGACTGTCTACAATCCATCAGTCTTTTTCCTCTCAGTTCATAAAATGTGGGTGAGAGTGGCTGGGCCAGCTTTTATTGTCCCCTGAATGGTCACATCAGGGGCTGGTTAACATAACAACATAAGAACCAGGAGCAGGAGGAGGCCATCCGGCCCATTGAGCCTGCTCCACCATTCAATAGGACCATGGCTGATCTTCTCATGGACTCAGCTCCACTTACCCACCCACTCACCAAAACCCTTAACTCCTTTACTGTTCAAAAATCTAACGATCTTTGCCTTAAAAAATATTCAACGAGGTAGCCTTACCT